CGATCTGCTCAGTGAGTATAAAGTAGCAGGCGGTCCATAACTTTTCATTCGTTATTCTGCACGTCACATCAAATTCCCTTGATGCCTTTTGCGCGGACGATCAAATTTTGTGTCGCAACTTTTTCGTAACGCCTTCTTCTCTCTTCTTACCTCTTTTCCTTACCGCGCACGCAGCGTAGCCATTTACTTTGTGCAACTGTATTCCTCTGCGCCATCTTTTCTATTAGTGACAACTCTCTCTCTTCCCTGCTAGTTTTCTTTTCCTGGGTTAGTTTTCTTTCTCCCTTGATGTGCCATACCTCTCCCATTTCCTGGTTTCCCCTTTTGCGCCACTTCACTCTTCATGTTTGGTCCGCTTCTCTTCTTCTTTGATCACTCTCCCTCTCAGTACTAATCCTTCTCTCAGCACTCCACCTTCTTCTTCCGCGCTCGCTTTCTTTCCTAACACTTATCTCCTATCTCTGACGCACACCTTCCCACTATGTCTGAGGCACGCCGCGGACAGGGTAGAGGAAGAGGAGGTAGGACAGGGAAGGATAAAGAGGAGCCGCCGGTTAGGGCACGACGCTCCTATAGTTCAGAGGAGGAGGAGGAGGAAGAACCAAGAGGCTACGTGCATTCGAGGCCCTATCCACGTTATCCATCATCAGGGTGGTAAGAGAAGACTCCATCCCCAGACAGGATGGAATACCTTCGTAAAAAAATTGATGAGCGCTATAGTACACCCAGTGCTTCTTCTCCCCCTTATATCCCTAGAGCTCCTTCCACCCCAGCCGTAAGCAAGGCCATAGTGCGAGATCCGCCTCCTTTTGTCCCATGCGCCGTCTCATCACTCCATCATCCCAGTCACTGCATTCTCTTCAGCATCTTCTTTTTCCTCTTTCTCTTCCAGCTAAGCTCATGGCTGTCTTTTATGTCTTATATAAGCGTAACTTCTTTTCAACCTTTTGAATCTGATTTTTGGCTCATAAAAATTCTCAATCCAGTCCACTTCATAGCGTTCCAGGCCTAAGAGTTTGGCTTCCTTAAGGCCAGGGGTGCAGGTTCCTCGTAAACCAGATCGCTTGTCGGCCACCAAATAAAATTTTAAGAAGGATTTTGTCTGCTTGTTTGACTTGTTCAACTGTTGGTCCTTCACATGGGGGTTACCTTAGTTCTTGATCAGGCATCTATGCCAGGGATGACCCCAATAACGAGGGTACTCACTCTGTCTGCCATGCTGGAAATAGGGTATACCAAACCCTCTTTTCTGTTCTCTGGTCTGAGAAACACCTTCTCAGCTCCTCACTTGATGGAGATCCCAAACCCTTGTTTTATTTCTCTGGTTTGAGTGAGGCGTCTCCTCAACTTCTCAGATAAAAGGGAGGGGATACCAAACCCTTTTTCGTTTCCCTGGTCTGGGAACTTCAGATAAGTATCTGCGTACCTGCAAAACCAGCAAGTCCCACAGACAACAACCATATCCCAACAAGCAGGCCCTCTGACAACCTACAATCAAACATTAACAAATTAAAATAAACCCCATAAATAAAACAATAAATGTTAAATAACAATTAATACATAACAACTCTTCGTACTCAGGATTCATTGATTGCCTTGGTTTTGGTCCACCACTGGCCAGGAATGTCAGACGTCCCGTCAGTCTGACACACCTCATTCGGCCCGCCTCAGGCCAGGACTAGTCAGACCATTTGTCTTGACAGCCCCTTTGACCTGCCTCCAGGTCAGGACCAATCATACCNGACTAGTCAGACCATTTGTCTTGACAGCCCCTTTGACCTGCCTCCAGGTCAGGACCAATCATACCCACTACTCGAGTATGAGAGCCCTTTGACACTCTCGCCAGGACACCCAGACTATAGCGGGYCTGGTCACCCTATGACAGTAGACGTCCCGTCAGTCAAACTGTCCCGAACCCGGATTTGACCACTGCGGTCAGGGACCGGCTCACCTACCAGTTTTTGGCCAAGGGCTACCCCACCCAAATTTTTGAACGTGGGACCTGGTCTAACCACTGTTCCAGGCTCTGGCTAACCTCACTGGATTGCATCCTCTGACTGCGGTAGGGTTCCAGCTGACCCCTTTCAGCCTCATAGGCCAGACTCCCGGAGTCTTAGCCTCAACTGACTACGGAATTCGACACTCGCGTTGAGGACCTGCTGACCCCACCAGATTGCAACCTACTGCGGTAAGGCTCTGGCTGGCCCCGACAATCAACGCATCCTTAGGTTAGAGAAGAAAACCCCCAGGCACAGATAATCAGGCAAGCATATCATGACCCACAAGCAGACTGTCCACGCCTCATAACAGAACAAACATTTCTCAAGAGACCTCCCTTCAGTCTCAAGAGGCACTGAACAATAACATGCTAGCCAACACCAAGAGTTTGCAAGAGACCTCCCTTCAGTCACAAGCAAAAACTTTGTGGTAGCCCCAGAGAGGTCCCTTCCCTCAGCTGGGATTTCTTTTCCCAAGAGATGTCCCGTCAGTCTCAAGGAAATATTGAAACTCTGATTTCAGAGAGGTCCCTTTCCCTCATCTGAGTGAAGACAAACCCTTAGCCAAAAGGCACGAAGTCCCTCTACTGACCATCCTCAGTCTAAGTAAAGGTGAACTTCTTTATGCCTGCCTTCGTCCGAATCTTTTGGATGAACAACTTAGTCAGAGATACGAAGTCCTTCTGCTGATAACTTTCATTCAGACAGAACTAAACTTCTTTATGCCCATCATACTTTCTTTTTATAATAAGAATAATACTGCTCATATCATTTGATGTGCCACTGTATACTCTCGTTTGTGCCCTTAAACACTAGAAGCATTTCTTACTTGGGAGACACTTCAAGATGTATTCTGATCATTCCACCCTGCAATGGATGAGGACCCAAGCCGAATTAAATGATAAGCTAGCAAGGTATATTCAATTTATTGACGGGTTTGACTTTGAACTGAAGCACAAGAAGGAATGCTATAAAAGGGTTGTTGATGCATTGTCCCATAGACCTGATTCCTTTGCAGCCATTGTTGATACTTACTCTTTTGCCGAGTCCACTAGACAGGACATTGCTGATGTGTTGCCTCAGGATCTAGTCTTTGGCCCCATCCTTAGGAATCTACAGGCTGATCCCAATTTTGAGTCAGGCTATGTCGTGACTTCTGGCTTGTTGTACACAATTAGCGAGGGGGAAGAGCGTTTGTGCATCCCTAATGATCGCAAGATCGGTACTCATATGATCTCAAAGAGTTATGATGCTCACGGGCACTTCGGGTTCTTGAAGACGTATGCTGCTTTGACCCAACGCTTCTATTGGTCTAAAATGAAGTACGATATCCTGCATTACTTGGAGACCTGCTCGTTGTGCCAAAGGAATAAGGTCCATAGGCGGCCTCCTATGGGACTACTCAAACCCCTACCTATCCTTGATGGTCCAGGTGAGTAAGTATCCATTGACTTCACAGACCTAGGCAAGACCACACCACGTGGAATGAGACAGGTAACGGTTTGTGTTGATTGATTCTCCAAGTATGCTGAGTTTATCCCCTTACCCGCTGAGGCCAGAGTACCACTCGTTGGAGAGCTCTTTTGTGAGAGGAGGGTAAATGTCCATGGGTGCCCAAAGTCCATTGTCAGCGACAAAGACCCCAGACTTTGCAGCGATGATTGGTAGTCCTTCTGTAAGGACTACCTACATTCTAGATTGGGCATGACCTCTGGGAGACATCCGGAAGCCAATGGACAGGCCGGGGTAATGAACCAAGTCTTGTTTTAGTTGCTGCATCGTGTGATCACGCTTGATCAATAGGACTGGGACAGACATCTGTCATGGGCACAACTGGTGTATAATACATCTGTTCACAGCAGTACAGGTTTTACACCCTACAGACTACACTTTGCAAAAGACCCCAAACAACCTCTGGATGATCTGATTGACAAGTCTAAGCCTAAACTAACTCTTGACACTGTAGAGTTCACCAAGAGTTATGAGAAAAACCTAGAAAAAGCTAGAACTAACATGTTCAAGGCCTAGAAGAGGATGATCAAACAGGCTAATAAGCATTGCTCTCCGTCTACTATTCGGCCAAGTCACTGGGTCTGTTGCATACTGTAACGGTGCAGACCAGAACAAGAACCGACTTCTCAATACAAAGTACAAGATAGCGCAACGGAAAACTTAGATACCAATGATCCGAACAATCACTATTGCAATGCAGCCCCGAACATACATCATCATCATCATTCCATGGTGTGAAGGGGTCTGGCGCTCACACCGGAAGAATGCGCCAGCCCCAACCATACACAGACGAAGAAGAGGGGGGTTAGACGAAGAAGAGTCGAAGATGGGAATGTCGTCAACACCAAGTCTTCGGCACAAGCCAAATAGTCCCTCGTCAAAATGTCTGAATCCCAATGTGGAGTCAAGATCCAGTGTCGTCAAGTCTCAAGTCACAACTCTCTCTCTCTGTAGTAGTCCGCTGATAATGAGGAGTCAGGTGGCGAGAGGGGAAGAAGAGATGGTGGACTTAGAAGAGGAAGAGAAGAATAATCTCTCTCTCTCTCTCTCAGTCCGGTACTAACCTGTGAAGTTGGCGCCTTGATGCAGGTACCTCGAAGATGGAGCTGGAGCTATGGCGCCACAGGTAAGTCTCACTGGCCTCCGCCAGCCATCTCTCCCAACTCTACTACTACCACCTACTAGCGCCCAGCGCTGAAGACTACTGCTATGGCTACTAGCGCCCAGCGCTGAAGACTAGTGCTAGCGCTAAGCTACTCCTGCAGCGCTCCTCTTGAGTGCTGCGGCCGAATCCTGAAGACTACTCCTGCCTTCTGTCCAACTACCTACCCGTGAAGTGCATGGGAACTCCCTATGTACTTCTCGGCCTGCCTCCTGACTGCAGGCGAGGCAGTCCAAGAGGCTGCTCTTGCCAATTCCGAAGGGAGTCAGGGACTGCTGCTGCAGCTCCTGCTTGAGGCTGTCGTGGGAATAGGCCAGAAATAGCCTGTTCCCGAAACCCTGGTTTTGTTCCCGAGTGTTAGGGTAGGTCGATCTTATGAGGGCCCGAAAGTGGCCCTCCGTTTCAGGCTGAAAAGCCTCAAGGCTCAAAAGCCCTGTTTTAGGCTGAAAACGAAATAGGGCCTGCAGACCCTCATTTTAAGTTTTCAGGCTGAAACGACAGGGGCCTGTAAGCCCTTATTTCTAGGCTTTTAGGCTGAGAATGCTGGACGGGCCCTGCAGGCCCGTGTGGCTACGCAGTATGCCACACCCCCCCCTCCTTGAAAGACCGAGCGTACCTGCGAGGGCGAAGCTGTCTGTCTGAGGGAGGGACCACAGTGCGGGTGGGAGGGGCAGGTCGTGAAGTTGCCTGAGCCTTTGTCGCCCGTAGTGAGCGTAGATCAGCGGTGCGGATGCCTTCAAATCTGTTCCTGAAATCCACCGAGTGTCGTCGGGATCGCATGCTTTGAATGTAACTTTGTGCTGTCGCGGCTTGCTGCCGTACTTGCGATCCGTGATGACGCGGTCAACTTCCTGATGACCATCCATAGATGAAGGGTCCTGCGATCGTCGGCCCGGGAAGTCGTCGCTCTTAGCTGGTGTATATGTTGCCAGCTTCGAGGCGTGAAAGACTGGATTGACCATCAGATGCAGGGGGATGTTGATCACAAATGAAGGGCCATCAGGCTCATCGCCCGCGGCTGATGTTACGGGCCATGGTCCAAACCACTTGGGAAGCAGTTTGCGTGAAACATCCTGTTCCAGTGCAAACTCTTCCGCGGAGACCCAAACCAGATCACCGGCGAGGATAGGACATGGCACGCGACGCCTGTTGGCTTGCTGCTGCATGCGGATTTGAGCCTTTTGCATGTTCGCGCGGGCTTGAGCCAGCAATTCCCTGTACTTCCGGACGAAAGTGGGAGAGCATGCGGCGTCAATGTCGGCTGGTCGTGGGAGGAGAAGGTCGGTGAAGATACGGCCTTTCCGTCCACCGTGGTGCAACTCGAATGGAGTCAAGCCGATCGCCGGGTGCACCGAAGTGTTGTGGGCGAACTCGATGTCGGGGAGGCGGTCAACCCAATCTTTGTGGTCCGGACGGATGAGCGTACGGAGCATCATTTGAGCGGTTTGATGTGCCCGCTCCGTTTGCCCGTCCGTCTGTGGATGCCGAGCCGAACTTGGTTTCATCTTCGTGCCGGACTCCTGCATGAGAGCAGTCCAAAATGACGACATGAAGCGAGTGTCTCGGTCGCTGACTATGTCTTCCGGTACACCGTGGCCGCAAATCCAGTCGGTGTGCAAGAGGCGTGTTAGCTCGGGAGCCGTGGAGTAGTACTTGCAAGGGAGAAAACGAGCGTACTTACTCAAACGGTCCACAAGCGTGAGGGTGCCGTCGTTCCCGAGGCGATCGCGGGGAAATGGTCCAGTGACATCCATGGCAATAGAGAGGCCGGGTTCTTGTGGGATAGGCATCGGGCGCAACTCACCGTAGGGATTGCGATTGTGGGGCTTGCTTCGTCGGCAAACTTCGTAAGAGTCGCAATACCGAGTGACATCGGTAATGAGGTCGGGCCATCGGAATCGTTGTCGAAGCCGTGGAATGGTGCGGTTGACTCCGAAATGGCCGGCGAGTCGCGAATCATGATACTCGCCGAGAAGGCGAGTTCGAAGGCGACGCTCTCGTGGGACACATAGTAAGTCCTTGCTTCTCGAGTGGAGGAGCAAGTACCCGTCGGCAATGCGATAGTGGCTGGCCGGCGGGTGATCCGAAGATAGCTGCGCATACAACGTGGCGATATCCGGATCAGACTCATAGCCCCGGATGAAGTGTTGTTGGAGTTCCTCGTTGAATGCGAAGGCATGATGTGTCATCGCGCAAAGATCAGGTCTTCGCGAGAGTGCATCTGCTGAGCGATTGGAGAGGCCGGGGAGATGTTTCGGTGTGAAGTCAAATTGGTCGATGAAGTACATCCATCGCCCGATCGTGCTGCTCACCGTATCCTGCGTCTTGTAGTAGGTTAATGGGTTTTTGTCCATGACCCATGTGAACCTACGACGCTCAAGGAGGAAGTGCCGCCATCGCTTGAGAGCCATCACCAACGCGAGCAGCTCCTTCTTCCTTGCATCATCAAGCGAATTGATGGGAGGCACTTTGTGGCTGAAATACTCCACAAGGTGCCAGTCGTCGTCGTCGTGTTGTTCCAAGACTGCCCCAATGCCATAGCTGGAAGCGTCAGTTGTCACTCTCGTAGGCAGGGTGGGGTCATAGATGCTAAGGACGGGTGCCATGAGCATGGTTGTCTTGAGTGCTTGGAATGACTGGCGTGCGTCATCGTCGAACACGAATGGCACCTTTGGCGATTGTAATCTCGTCATAGATGCATCAATCCTTGAGTATCCGGTGATGAATCGCTGATAGTAACCCGCCAACCCCATGAATGAACGGACGTCCATGGTGTTGGTGGGCTTGGGCCATACGCGGGGGGCCTCGATCTTGTCCGCAAGCGGACGGATGCCTTGCGCCGTCACATAATGTCCTAAGTACTCTAGCTCCTGCCGCGCGAATTCGCATTTGTCGCGGTTGGCTTTGTACTTGGCTTGTCGTAGTCGCTCCAAAACGGTGCGCAGGTGTTCCACATGCTTGTCCAAACTCCGGCTATACACCAGGATGTCGTCGAGGTAGATAAGTACGAATCGATCCAGCATGTGTCGGAACTCCGTTGTCATAGCCGCTTGGAAAGTGGCAGGGGCATTCGTAAGGCCAAATGGCATAACCAGCCATTTGAAATGCCCATATCGCGTCGTAAACGCGGTCTTGTAGCGGTCCTCCTTCCGAATCTCGAGTTGGTGATATCTCGACTTGAGGTCAAGCTTGGAGAAGAACTTGGCGCTTCCCAGCCGTTCGAGAAGGTCGTCGATGCATGGAAGAGGGCCGGCGTTTCTGATCATTTGCGCGTTGAGCTTGTGATAATCGATGCACAACTGCAAATCCTTGTTCTTCTTCCGGACGAAGAGAACGGGGGCACCGTATGGCGATGAGCTAGGTCGAATCCAGCCTTTCTCCAGAAGGTCGTCGAGTTGTGCCCGTAGCACACTTAACGCTTCCTCGCTCATTCGGTAGATGCAACCACGCGGAGGTACAGCCCCGTCCTCGAGGATGATCTCGTGGCGGATGGGCCGATCCGGTACTACTCCGTGCGGGCCTTCGAACACGTCGCCGTAGGTTCGAAGATGAGTCCGTCGATGAAGCGTCATGGGGCGGGAGGGCGTGGAGAAAACACACCTCCATCTCCTCGATGTCGTCTCTGATGATGGAAGCTCGCAAGCTTGCGGCGGACACCACGTGGCAGTTGATCGAAGGGTGAGGAGGAGCTACCGTGCATGGGACTAGTACTCCGTTCCGATCACGGACGTGAACGATGCGGCGATAGAAGTTCACCGGGTGATCCTCGCTTCGCAGCCATGACATGCCCAAGATCATGTCGAATTTGGTGTCCAAAATATCGAAGGACACCGCTTCGCTTGCATGCGGGGCAAAGTACACGGGGACGTCATCTGTGCACCGGTCGATTGACTTGTGCGTGTGACCGTCTGCCAACGTGACTTGCGTAGGTTGGAACTTCCTCCGACACGTGGGCCAAGGCCGGCGCGTACCATAAAGTCCTGGCTCATGTAGTTGCTAGATGCTCCGCAATCGATCAAAGCGCTGCAGGTCGCCTCTCCGATCTGAATGCGTACATATAACAATAGTGCGTCGATGTCGTCGTACCGTTGTGTCTTGAACTCGCGGTCGATCTTCGCAATGTAGGCGTGAAGGTCGACCACCTCTTCTCTGGTGTCCATCAACGAAGTTGGTACTGCAGTGTGCAAGTAATCCCGGAATTGTGCCATGAGCACGTTGCAATGCGGTTTCGGCAATAGACCGGACCAGGGAAGGGGCATCCATTGGAAGTCCGTAAATGTCAACGGGTCAAGCTCTTCAAGTCTTGACCATGACGTTGAATCCATGGCGGCGAAGCTGCCGAATCGGTTGCCGATGGTGATGAAACCGTGCATGCGGTAGATTGTTGCACGTGGAGCGGTTGGTCCAACGGTGGGACCAAGTGGACAGCATAATCCTCGTAAGTGAACCGAGGACTTGCGACATTCGCATCCTCCCCAGATGTGTAGGAGGCCGCTAGCAAGGCCGTCGAATCTGGCGGAGTGAGAGGGGGAGTCGCCTCACCTCCCGCGGGACTCAGTTTCCCGAGTTGATACGAGGCCGAACATCCTCCTTGCCTTGATCCGGGCATTGGGAGGTCTTGTGCTTGGTGCTATTGCACCAATAGCAGCAGCCGTAGTGGCCGCGCCACTTGTATTCCGCCTCGGTCAAGTGAAACTTGACCCATGGTGCTGGTTGTCTGTTTCCGGTCGGCGATGCGGTTTTCGCCTTTCCGGTTCCTCGGGACTCGTTGTTGCTTTGCGGCTGGACAGCAGCCACCTGATCTCCCTCACGTGACGCTTGGGTGGCTGCCGGGTCTTCCACAATGTTGTCCGATTGGACTGCAGCGACATGTTGCAGCCGCGGACCAGTTTTCACCTTCTCCACATAGGTTGGCTGCCATGCTGATTTCTCATGTGCAGCTGCCCTGTTGGTCTTGATGATCTCCCTCGCCTTGTCGATGATTTCGGCGAAGGTCACGTATTGCTCACGATCACCAAGTGCAAGGCTCAAGGCGGCACATGACCGGTTGTAGAACTCGCGGCGCAGATGCGAAAATGGCAAGTCAAGGTCGGGCATTGCCGCGATCTTTTGCCATTTCGTGAGCCAGTCCCGTGTCGATGTGTCGCCTTGCGTCATAGCGAAGAGGCGGTTGATGGCGAGCGCTGGGGCGTCGTCCACGATGAACCGCTTCTTCCATAGCCGTGTTAACTCTTCCCAAGAGATCTTGTCTTTCAGATCTGCGACGTCGACGCCGTGGACGGTTGCCAGGTGGCTCAACCAGATCTGGCATCCGCCCTTTGAGTTGAGGAACAGGGCGCCGATGTACGTGTGCTTGGCGACGAACAGAATCCGAAGTTGCGTTGTAAAGCCCTCCCACCAGAGGACCGGGTCTTGATGCGTATAATCATCGAACTTCTCGATTTGGAATGTCGGCATCTTGTAGTGCTGCGTGGTGTTGCCATTCTTGTTAGGCAGCTGCAGTTGCTGAACCTCGGTCTTCAAGGTGTCCTGCTGGCTGCTGATGGTGGCTGGTGCAGTGAAGGTACTGATGTCGCCGAGCATTGCGACTACGTGGTCAACTCGTTCCTCCAACTGGCGGCTAGAGGGTGCGTTGCTGGTCTCGCCAGCATTGGGTCTTGGTGCAGATTGCTTCAAGTCCTGTACACGGGAATGAAGTGCCCGTGTAGCATCCTCATGCAGATCCTAGTGGTTCTGCATTGCCCGTCGGAGATTCGCCAGCTTAGACTGCAGGTGGTTACAAGTGTAAACCAACCTGGTCATGAGCTTGGCCATGAATTCCTTGTGCTGTTCCTCCGGTGTCGCGTCGTCGTGCTCCTCGGATGGTTCAAAATGCCAAAACTTGAGCCTTTCAATGCTGGTGGTCTCATGCCGCTGCAACAGATCCTGGGCTTCCTTGCGGCGTGCCTTGGTATCTGTGTCTGCTTCGGCCTGAAGCCGCTGCTTGTCAGCTGTTGCCGCCGCTTCAGCCTGTAGGCAGAGAGCCTCGGCTGCCAGCTGGCGCTGTTCCTCAGCCGCGATTAGTGCGAGCTGAGTTTCGAAACGCTGTCGGTACTCGGCAATGGACTCATTTGCCAGTTGGCCTGGCATGCCCAGAACTGAGCCCGTCATGGTGGCGGGGCACTGCTGATGTGGCACTGTGGCACTGCTGACGTGGCACTGTTGTTGTCGTGGCACTGCTGACGTGGAACTGTGGCACTGTTGTTGTCGTGGCACTGCTGACGTGGCACTGCTGACGTGGCACTGCTGACGTGGCACTGCTGACGTGGCACTGCTGA